GAACCCACATCTCATCCTTTCATGACAAAAGGATTTATTGACATTGCTTTTTTTTGAGGAGAATGGACTATAATGATAATAAAGTTGTCATTTTGTCATGAATTTGTTTTGAATTTCATGTTAAATTTGAGCCCATTATTCCCACTTTGTGGAATCATTTTTTTAAGCCTTTTTTTTTTTTTTCTCAGAGAGGTTTTTGCTATAGGGCGCGTGCACTCACCAGACAGAGAGAGAGAGACAGAGAGACAGAAAGAGAGAAATCACCCCCAGGGGGGATGGCCACGCCACAATCCCTTCTCCGTTCTCCTCTCGGGATCTTGGGCACGGACGTACACGTGCCCGGTGTGAGTTTAAGTCACTGGGTCCAGGACTCAAACCGTGGTCTACTACGTGGGAGTCCAGTGACATAGCCATTACACTAACTGCTGGTCCCTTTAAGCCTTTTTTTTTAAGAGGTTTTTTGTTATAGAGTGCATGCACTCACCAGAGAGACAAAGAGACAAAGCGAGAAATCACCCTCCAAGGGGAATGGCCATGGCCACACTGCAATCCCTTCTCCTCCAGTTTCCTCTTGGGATTTTGGGCATGCACACACATGCACTCAGTGTGCATTTCAAGCCACTAGGACTCAAGCCATGGTCAACCATGTGGGAGTTCAGTGATGGAACCATTACACCATCTGTTGGTCCTTAAACCTTTTTAAAAGTTGCCAGCAGGTTTGTGTGCTCACCAGAGAAAAACAAAGCACATATTGGGACCAGAAGTTGGTGTAATGGCTGTGTCGCTGGACTCCCACATAGTCGACCGTGGTTTGAGTCCCGGACCCAGTGGCTTAAACTCACACTGAGCATGAGAAAGTCCTATAAATTTACATTTGAGGCAGAACAAGAGAACAAGGCAGATAAGAGCCTGTCCTTAGTTTTATTTTTTCCAATCCCGATATCTTCTCTCTTCTCTCTTCTCTCTTCTCTCCAAATCTCATTTGTCCTACAGGCCCATCTCCAAGGAGAATTCCCTGATCCCCTGATCCACTCGAACCTCTCCAACTGTTGAATGCTTAGGGCCAGTGCAGAGCTACCTAGATGTCTCTTAGCTTAATTTTGCCTCTCCTGCCAGTCTCAAAACTTAGATTTCACTTGCCCTCCTGAGGTCACTAGGGCTGTGCCGACCCATAGGTGTGCTCCATAGGGAGTGGCTACTGACAGACTTGGTGGAGAAGGCCAATGGGAGGCACCAGGCAGGGCTCCTCTTGCCTCCACAAAACTCTGAGGGTGTGAAGCCAACCCTCAAGTCACAAATTCCTTGTATGATCTCACTGGGTAGTGATGACCTCACAGGCCTTCTCAGTTTCCATGGCAGGGTAACTATGCAAATGTGATGCCCTCAGGGAAACTGTCCTACCAATTCTCTGCGAGATACCAATCTGTTTGGTTGTCTGAGAGAGAATGTCTGATCGGATCTTCTATATTCACTCCAATTTGTCCTCTGTCCCCTGGGATGGCAGTGCATCAGGTAGGACTAGACTGGACATATGTACAAGAAACACTAATTATACACACAATCTCACCTGGATGTCCCATGTTCCTTTTGGGCTTGCCCACCACACTTCAGAACCTCCCAAGCCATAAGTAGTACCAGTGGCCTGGGCCTCCCCAGGGACCTGCAATGTCTCTGCTCGCTGCTGAAGGCAAATGAAATGTCAACTCTGGGCACGTGTTCAGAAAGGTCCTAATTGGGGACCAGCAGATGGCATAATGGCTACGTCGCTAGACTCGCACATTGTCGACAGCAGTTCAAATCCCAGACCTGGTGGCTTAAACTCATGCCAGGCACATTTGTGTGCGTGCCCAAAATCCCAAGAGGACAATGAAGGAAAAGGGATTGAGGCGTGGTCATCCCCTACCACGGGGGTGATTTCTCACTTTCTGCCTGTCTGTCTTTCCAGCAAGCACACACGCTCTGTAGCAAAAAATCTCTCTTTAGAAAAAAAAAAGGAGGGAACCAGCAGTTAGCGTAATGGTTATGTCGTTGGACTCCCACGTAGTCGACCGCGGTTTGCGTCCCGGACCCGGTGACTTAAAACTCACGCCAGGCGCATGTGCGTGCGCGCCCAAGATCCCGAGAGGAGAATGGAGGAGAAGGGATTGTGGCGTGGCCATCCACCCTGGGGGGTGATTTCTCGCTTTCTGTCTCTATGTCTCTCTCTGTCTGTCTGGCGAGCGCACGCGCCCTGAAGTGCAAACCTATCAAAAAAAAAAAAAAAAAAAAAGGAAAAAGAAAAGAAAGGTTCTAATTTGCTCTCTCTCCTTTGGGCTGCAAGGTGCTTCCATTCAGACCCTCTCCTGGTTGACTTCTTAGCAAGATCCAAGTGATAAATGGAGCAGTTGGTTTCTTGTTTTTTTTGTTTGTTTGTTTTGTTTTGTTTTGTTTTTGACCAGAGGTGGGGGAGAGAGAGAGAAAGAAAGCCGCCAGGTCCAGGATTCAAACCATGGTCAGCCATGTGAGAGTCCAACACTTTAAGTACCACACTACCTGCTGGCCCCAAATGGAGCAGTTTGAGAACAAGCTACTGAGGGTCATTCATGAACCTCACCTAGATATATGCATAGGCTTCCATCAGACACATCCCACTCTGAGTCTCTGAATACTGGGGGCAAGAGTGGTGTCATGTAGCTGAGAAGAACAGAAAAGCCCAGGAGAGTCATGAAATGCTACCTAATCTGGAGGTTTGAGGAAATGGTACTCCAGTAGGTTGGATGGATGTGAAAAGGCTCCTTAAGCCTAGACTTGGTACCCAGAATCTGTCTCTTAACCTCCTGGTCACTCTGCCCCATGAGGGCTTGCTTTTTTCCTCTCCCAATATCTCTGGTAAGCACACATGCCCTATGGCAAATTATTTTTAGAAAAGAAAGAAATGTTTTTTTCAGTTGTGGAAGAGACTGTCTAGTTGTAATTATTTTGCAGTTCCGCTGTTCTCTCCAGGAGTGGGGAAACAGATGCCCTGATTTTTTTCTGCCATAGGCCCCATGGAGTTGCTTTTGCAGCCAGCATCCCTTTACTTGGGGACCCATAGAGGTGTTAAACTGAGGCTGTTTCTGGGATGCCAAGAAGATAAGAGGACTTCACCCAGAAACAGGAAGAGACATGAGAGAGGGGAGGTCCTGTAGCTCAGTGTATAAAGCAAAAACAACTGATCAGTTCTGGTTTTCTTTCCAGCAGCAGTGCCTCCCGCTTCTCTTCCTACACCTGGTCATTACCATGTCCTCTATCGAGGGTGTGGAGAAACCCAGGTGGGCTGGCACGGGGAAACATACTGCCTAGTTGGAGGTTACCGGCTCTATGGGGATGCTCCTGTGGCCACCCCAGCAAAAGCTGAAGCAGAAAAGCCATCCCCCAGCCGAGGTCTCAAGAGATGTCGAGCCCTGGTAGAGTCAGACAAAGACCTAGGTTGCTCTAGACCCAAAACTCGGCGCTTGCAGCGTGTTGGCCGGAGGCCAGCCCCCCAGAAGCTTGCTGGCTGAGCTGCTCTGTAGGGAGGACAAATGTTTGACTACCTAAGATAGCTAACATCTTATCTGCAGTGACCTCTACTGTCACCACTCAAGACAGAACCTGAACCATTTTGCCTGAGCCTTCCTCCACTTCCAAACTAACTGGCCACAGGCAAGGAGCCTGGGGCTGAAGCTGACCTGGAAGAAAACCTGATATTTCTTTGCCTAATCCTCTAGAGCTCCTAATGGGCAGAAGAAAAAAACAGAGTCTGCACCCTGCCAGCTGAGGAGGAGTCAGGGGCAGAGAGAGGGTGCAGAATGGCTTACAGGGCCCAATCTACCAGATAGGCTCTTGCTCTGAGTCATTGCCAACAACTACCAGCACAGACCAGGAGGGGCTGGTCTTCCTAAAACTGGAAGAAGCAGTCTGTGGCTATCCAGAGAGCTTCCTGCCTGAGGTCTCCCCAGGGGACAGAATAAAGAGGACCTAGGAGACCTGCTACCCCCACCCCAAGGCACACATACTCCTTTATTGCCAGCCCTTTATGGCCCCCGTGGGATCTTGACTGCTCAATAAAATAATTTTCTGTTAACAGTGTTTGACTGGAATCCAGCTTGTCCTAGGTCAAGCCCTAAGTTTCCCTGTCCCCTTGAAGTGCATCCCTGCATAATTGCACCTTGAAGTGCATCCCTGCATAAAAGACCTGGTCCTGTAAGATCTCCCTTCAGAAAGGACCCTTGTTTGCAGCTTCTGACTGTCACTTCTTTAAAGAGGTGACATTTTGGGACCAGCAGGTGGTATAATGGTTACATCACTGGACTCCCATGTTGTCAACCACAGTTTGAGTCCTGGACTCACGCTGGGGAGAGGCCAGCAGGTGACATGGTGGTTAAGGGCACTGGACTTTCACATGGCTGACTGCAGTTTGAGTTCTAGACCTGGACATGGTGGCTTGCTTTCTCGCTTTTCCTCTCTCTCTCTCTCTCTCTCCCCCCCCCTCTCTCTTGCTCTGTCCCTCTCTAGTCAAATTAAAAATAAATAAAGCTAAATAAAATAATTATTAAAAAAAAAAAACACGCTGGGCACATGTGCATGTGAGCCCAAAAACCCAAGAGGAGAATGGAGGAGCAGGGATTGTGGCATGGTCATCCCCCCAGGGGGTGATTTCTTACTTTCTCTCTCTCTCTCTTGCTCAGGCAGGACCACATGCCCTATAGCAAAAATCTAACAAACGGGGGGGGGGGCATTTCATGAGCAATGTGAGGGAATCATGTAAGCAGGGAAAGCATTCTAGAGGAAACTGCGAGTGTAAAGAACCAGAAGTAGGACCAGCAGGAGGGGTAGTGTGACCAGGAAGGAAAGCAAAATGATTGAGAGAGGTAGTTGGAGAAGCAGGAATAGGCCAGACCATAGCCTGCCTTGTCTGCCATAATGAGTGTGGATCTTGTTTTAGGTGTGATGGGAAGTCCTGGGAGGAATTTCAACAGGATGAGAAAGCAATCTGATAAAGATGTTGAGAAGATCACTCCAGCTGCTGTACACCACAGCAATGAGATGCTGGCTGTTACTAGTGGAATGTTTCTCTTAGCAGTTAAGGGGACAGTTGGTTCTGGGCATGGGGTGGGGAGCAGCCAGTAGAGATAAAACAACATGGAGTTTGGGCCTGTGTCTACTGTATCAGCAGCCTGGAACAGAAGGTGGTGCTGTCAGCAACTCACAGCCCTCCAATCCCTGGTGAAGTCACCTCTGTGGACAGCGCACTCTCCTCAGAGACCACAGCCACAGGAAGGTTGCTTCTCCCCCTGACATGCATACCCTCAAGGCTGGAAAAGTCCTATAACTCAAGAAGCTTCCCTAACCTGGGTAAGAGGAAGGGGAGGCCTAGGCCCTGGGTCTCCCAGAGAGTGCCTGCTGGGAGCCCCATTTAGCCTGCCACAGACTCTCTCTGATGCTTGGTACAATTGAGGCAGATTGCTGGTTACTGGAGGGATCAGATAGGCTGGCAATTTCCCACTGCGAGACAAACAGACTCACCTCAGCTCTTTGAAAAGACAGATCCCCAGCATCCATAGCAGTCTAAGTTTGTAGGATGAGGAACTCCCAGAATGCCTTTCTTTCTTTTCTTTTCTTTTCTTTTTTTTTTTTTTTAAGTTTATTCATTTCTTTTGTGACCAAGACAAAATAGGAACTCCCACAGGGGTTTTATGCCACAATCCACTTCCAGTACCTGCCAGCTCAAATCATGGGCACACATACCCTGTGTGCTCAGGGAAGTCCTGGGACACACACCCAGGATATTTTTCAGCTATACTACCACTGCACCATTGTCTGGTCTTAAAATCTATAGTGCTTGTTTTTGCTTTTGTTTTTGTTTTGTTATAGGGCGTGTGTGCTCCCTAGAGAGAAATAGGAAAAGTGAGAAAGCACCTATCTCAGAGGAGAAGGCCATGCCACAGTCTCTTCCCTGTTCTCTTCTTGGGATTTTGGGCATGCACGCGCGCGTGCACACACACGCGTCCAGCATGATTTTTTTAGGATGTTTTTGCTATAGGGCACAAGTGCTCACCAGAGACACAGAGACAAAGAGAAAGTGAAAAATAACCCCCCCGGGGAAGATGGCCATGCTGCAATCCCTTCTCCATTCTCCTCGCAGGATTTTGGGCATGCACATGCATGCAACTGGCTTGACTTTCAAGCCTCTGGTCTGGGACTCAAACCATGGTTGGCTATGTGGGAGTCCAGAGTCCCAACCACTGTGCCACCTACTGACCCCCAGCATGATCTTTAAATCACCAGGTTCAGGACTCAAACTGCAGTCAGTACAGTGCTAGATTTCGTGTAAGATCTAGCTGCCTTAACCTCCATGCCACCTGCTGGCCTAACTTCTTTTAAAATGTCTACAAATGTTCCCAGTGTGAAAAGATCCCCTCAGGCCAGCCCAGACCACTGCGGTTAGGCAGCTGGATCCCACATGACCAATCTTGAAGTCTGAATCCCAGATCCAGTGGCTCGAAAAATGTACCAGAAACGCATGCAGGTCCAAAATCCCAACAGGAGGAAGTGGTTTTTTGCTATCTTTTTCACTCTTTTTTTGTCTCCTCTTGGCAAGCACAAGCACTCTCTCACAAAATTAAAAAAAAAAAAAAAAAAGACCAAATAAATGAGGCCTCGCAGGTAGTGATTTATCACTTTCCCTGTCTCTTTGTCTCTGTCTCTTTCCAGCAAGTGAATGCATTCTATGATGGCAAAAAAACATTTTTTTTTTAAATAGAGATTTTTTTTTTTCCTATAGGGCACATGTGCTCATTGAAGAAACAGAAAGATAAAAAGTGAGAAATCACCCCCCAAATGGATGGCCACCCACAGTCCCTTCCTCTCCATTCTTCTCTCGGGATTGTGGGTATATACTCACACGTGCTCAGTGTGAGTTTCAAGCCTCAAGGTCCAGGACTTGAACCACAATCAGCCATGTGGGAGTCCAGTGTTGTAACCACTATGCCACCTGCTGTTCCCAGCAAAAGTCTTTAAAGTGAGAAATCACCCCCCAAATGGATGGCCACCCACAGTCCCTTCCTCTCCATTCTTCTCTCGGGATTGTGGGTATATACTCACACGTGCTCAGTGTGAGTTTCAAGCCTCAAGGTCCAGGACTTGAACCACAATCAGCCATGTGGGAGTCCAGTGTTGTAACCACTATGCCACCTGCTGTTCCCAGCAAAAGTCTTTAAAAATTTTTTTTAAATAATTATTTATTTTATTTTATTTATTCATTCATTTTTTTAAAAATTTGACCAGAGAGTGCTCGCTTGAGCAGCACATATACTAAAATTGGAACGATACAGAGAAGATTAGCATGGCCCCTGTGCAAGGGTGACACGCAAATTCATGAAGCGTTCCATATTTTTTTGGGGATGGAAAATTCATTTGTATGCTGTAATGATGTATAGTGAATTAATGTTAAAAAAATAAATAAATTTAAAGAAAAAAAAGAAAAAAATTTTTGACCAGAGAGAGAGAGGTTGAGAGTGAGAAAGAAAGAGGAAGTGAGAAAGCAAGCCACCAGATTCAGTACTCAAACCCTGGTCAGTCACGGGAGAGTGTCCAGCCCCTTAACCACCATGCCACCTGCTGGTCCCTAAAAAAAGTTTTTTTTTAATAGGGAATGATGTAATGGTTACACTGGCAGCTTAAAACTCATGCTGGGTGTGTGTGTGTGCATGCCCAAAATCCCAACAGGAAAATGGAGGCCATACCTCTGTGGGGGTGATTTCTCACTTTTTGTTTGTCTCTCCAGTGAGTATACGTGCCATATAGCAGAACTCTCTCTAGAAAAAAAAAAAAAGGGCCAGTAGGTGGCATGGTTCAGTAGGTAGCATGGTGGTTAAGATGCTGGACTCCCGCATGGCTGACCAAAGTTCGATCCCAGACCTGGTGGCTCGCTTTCTCACTTTCCCTCTCTGTCTATCTCTCTCTGGTGAGCATGCATGCTCTGTAGCAAATTAAAAAATAATAATAATGGGACCAGCAGTTAGCGTAATGGCAGTGTCACTGGACTCCCACGTGGTTGACCGCAGTTCACATCTCGGACCCGGTGGCTTAAAACTCACGCCAGGCGTGTGTGTGTGGGTGCCCAAGATCCCGAGAGGAGAATGGAGGAGAAGGGATTACGGCATAGCCATCCCCCCTGGGGAGTGATTTCTCGCTTTCTATCTCTCTCTCTGTCTTTCTGGCGAGCGCACGTGCCCTATAGCAAAAACCTCTCCAAAAAAGAAGAAAAAATAATAATAACGATAAAAATAACTAAATATTTAAAATAAATAATAATCTGTACATTGACCAGCTGATAGCATGGTGGTTAAAACAACTGGATCCAAAAAAAAAACAACTGGATCCCACATGGCTCGGATGCATTTTGAGTCCCCAGTGGCTTGAAAAATGAGCTAGGCGCATGTGTATACATTCCCAAAATACTGAGAGGAAAATGGAGGAGAGAGTATTGCAGTGTGGTCATCCCCTCCAGGGGTGCTTCCACATTTTATCTCTCTTTCTCTGTCAAGTGCATTTGCCCTATAGCAAACTAAAATAATAATAATAATAATAATAATAATAATCTGTACAAAGGATGAATAAGGCTATAAATGAAACAAGATGGGGCATCCATTGATAGTTGTTGAAGCTGGGTGATGGCTACACAGGAATTCAATGTACTCTTCTGTGTACTTTTGTTACATGCTTTAATTTTTTCCTAATAAAAAATTTAAAATATAAGCTTCTTAGATGCAACCTGAAGTTCAACCTGATTTCCAGTTAGAGCTCAGATGGTCACTCACAAGATAGACTATCAATAGCTGTGGGAGCCACAGAAGCCCAGTAGAGGACAGCAGGCTTCCAACATAAAAACAGAATTCACGGCTGGGTGGTTATACAGTGGTAGACACAAAGCTCTGTGGGGCAGACCCACATGGAAGGTTGCTGGTTTACATCCTGAGACCACCCTGAGTATGCCAAGCATGCATGTACTCACAGTCCGGGCTGGCTGAAGCAGAGGGTGGATCATGGCATCAAGACCCTGTCAGCAGTGCTATAGTTCTGTCTTTCTTCTTTCACTCATGGAATAAATAAATTTAGCAAGTAAACACACACAGAAAGTATGGATGGCTCTGGGGCAGGGTGTGCTCAGAAAATCATATTGTTAGGGAGGAGGCTGAGAATTCTGTTCAAAGGCATCCCTGAGCCCGCCGAGTTGGTACCATGAGCAAAGCTCACCCTCCCGAATTGAAAAAATGTATGGACAAGAAGTTACCATTGCAATTAAATGGCGGCAGACAAGTCCAAGGAATATTGCGGGGATTTGATCCATTTATGAATCTTGTGATAGATGAATGTGTGGAGATGGCAACTAGTGGGCAACAGGACAATACTGGAATGGTGGTAATACGAGGAAATAGTATCATCATGTTACAAGCCTTGGAATGAGTGTAAATAATGGCTGTCCAACAGAAAAACCCATGTCCCCTTGTCAACGGGCCTGTTTTACTGTGATGTAAAACTCAGGTCATGTACATTTCCATAATAAACTTTTCGTTAAGGAGAAAAAAAAAGAGAAAAAGAAAATTATATTGTTAGGACCAGCAGATGGCATAAAGGTTATGCTGCTGAACTCTCACATGGCCAATCACGGTTCAAGTCCCAGACCTAGTAGCTTCAAACTCACACCAGGCATGTGTGTGTGCTCATGCCCTAAACCCAAAGAGGAGAATGGAGAAGAAGGGATTGTGGCGTGGCCATTCCCCCAGGGGGTGATTTTTCACTCTCTGTCTCTCTCTGGCAAGCACAGGCACCCTATAGCAAAAATCTCTCAAAAACAAAACAAAACAAAAGCATGTTGTTACAGAAACAAGTCCAACCAGTCTCAGAGATAAGCAGGCTAGACTGAGCGAAGGAGACAGCAAGGGTCGAACCTGGGGCTAAATGTGAAATCGCACATGCTGTGATGATGATTATTTAGTTAGGACTACCTGCTGGAATCAGGTACCCCTGCAGATCACCCTTCTGCCTGCTTATGATAACTGGGGACTTGTTCAGCCACCTCACTGCACACCCCAGCAAAGGGCCAGCACCAGGGGAGGAGCACCAGATCAGCAAAGGATGTCTAAACAAACAGGTGGATATAAGGAATTTGAGGACGTTCCTGGTGAGAGGCAACAGCTGAAAGTGGAGACCTTCAAGGAATCCCCATCCGACTAGACCACGAGGGTATCAGTTGCACAGCAACTCAATTTTCCCTCCTAGAAAATGAGACTGGTGGGGCCAGCAGGTGGCATGGGGGTTAAGGCATTGGACTCCCACATGGCCAACCACAGTTCAAGACCCAGACCTAGCAGTTTGACTTCTCTCCTTCTCTCTCTCTCCCTCTTTGTGTCTCTCTCTGGTGGGGGCAAGTTTAAAAATGATAATAAATAAAATAAATATTAAGAAAAGAAAAAGAAGACTGGCGCAGGACATTGGCACAGTGGTAAAATGTGATGTTTTGTGAGGCTAACCCACATGAGAAGGTCCTAAATTCTTGGCCACAGATCTTCCTGAGCATACCAGGCAAGCGTGTGGTTGTGAGCTGGCTGGGGACAAAGGTATATCATGGCATTAAGACCCTGTTAGTGGTTCTGTCTCTTTTCCTCTCTCACTCATGACAGAAATAAATTTTTATTTATTTTTGTAGAGAGGTTTTTGCTATAGGGTGCAGGCACTCTCCAGAGAGACAGAAAGAAACAGAGATAGAAAGTGAGAAATCACCCCTCAGGCGGGATGGCCACACCAAAATCCCTTCTCCTTCCCTCTCCTCTTGGGATCTTGGGCATGCATGCACACATGTCCAGCATGAGTTTTAACCCACCAGGTCCAGGACTCAAACCGTAGTCGACTACATGGGAGTCCAGCAATGTAACCATTACACCATCTGCTGATCCCCGGAAATAAACTTTTGAAAAATGAGGAGCCATGGGGTGGGCAGGTGGTGTGAAGGTTAAGGATGCTGACCTCCCACAGGGTCAACTGCAGTTTGAGTCCTGGACCTGAAGGCTTACTTTCTCACTTTCTCTCTCGTGCGCGTGCTCTCATTCTCATTCTGTCCCTCCCTAGTCAAATTAAAATAAATAAATGAAGTCAAAATAATTCTAGGAAGGAAGGAAGGAAGGAAGGAAGGAAGATGATTAAAGCAGCAGGCACCAGGGACCAGTTATGAAGAGTGGCCATGCATA